GATTGGGGGGAACAGGGAACAAGAGTGAGCAAATACGTCTTCTTATGTATTTGGTTAGGAAGCAATCATTCCAGATTGGGTAAAATGGAAGGAGATGAGGGAGCACTCCCCCTGGAAATATGTCTTGGTGGCAATTCTTGTGGCCTAATTAGTAATTGCATGGATTCCTATGCAGTGTTTGCAATTGCTACTAGTGCCACAGCATAAAGAAAACCTCCAAGATTGGAATAGTACTGAAGTGTTGTGCCTACCACCAACTCATAGTATGCAGCATGGTACTGAGGGAATCTCCCAGAAGCCCCACCAACAGAAGTCTGTGCAGCATCTAGAAGTAGAAATGTCTTCTCTCTCACAGGTTCATCAGACTATAAACCAAGAAAGAAGGTATTAATGTTTCTAACTGGATTCGGATAGTGGAGAAGAATTACACGCAGAGAAAAGAAAGAACCTTTTTCTTTACTATTTTCACAAGAATTGGGAGAATTTCTGTATCTATAACCTGCTTGTGAATAGGATCTCCAATATTGTTCATTAACATCTCCAGCAACTGCAAAATTTAAAAGTTCATCCAAATTCAATTCTATGAAATGGAAACTGAATCACAACCAGATAAAAATGTGGAGCAACTTACTGTCACCGCCAACAATTGAATAGTTGGGTTCTTTTTCCCAAGGCGCTTCTTTATCGCTTTGGTGACATCTTTAGCTTGACTGGAGAAATCAAAGAAAGAAAACATTTCGGCCCATATAGTCTGAAATAGGAAACTTTGTGTTGCTCATGTCATGAACAGCTACTTCAAAATCTAAGTGTCACCATCTAAAAGGAATATTTTCTCATGATACATATGCATTTAATGAAAACCTAATTAACCAACATAAATCTGAAATAGGCTTTGTTTGCATTTCGGCCGAAATACTATCAGCACTTCTACTCAAAGTCTCAAACACTGCTAAAAAAAGCATTTTTCCCTTAGGCCTTATTTAAAACTAGTAAAATGCTAGGGAAAGAAAATATAAATGAATTATTGGGGTAGAATAAAAAATTGGTTCGAACTCAATAAATCCATTTTAGATGTTTGTTTGAGCTCAATTTATGCATATATTCCAAGGTAGAGCCAAAAAATTAAAAATACTCTTTGCATTATTTCCCTTGTCCTGCCATCGCCAGAGTTACAAACTTAGATGTAGCATTTCAGGCAAACTGCTAAGGAGAAAGAAGCCATAGCCTTCTCAAAACACTGACAACATCAACTAGATCATGAAACATGGATAATGGAAGCTGGACATGCTGTACCTGTGATCAGATGCAACTAACTCACAGATTTGGATGTTTTTCATCCAATCTGTTTCCGCGAGTTTTTCACATGTTGCAGCTTTAACAAGCTCAGCCGCCATCTTCCTTTCCGAATGACAGCTTTAGGAACGAAGTAATCCCCCCCTGCTGACATTTAACAAGATAAGCATTTCAAACAGATATGCTATAAGAAGATTGTGCTTTAAATCCCTCGATTAACTAAAGAAGCAAAGCATGTGCCTTTTAACCAGAAAACTTGGGAATCAAGCTTTCTTCTTCCAGCTCACAATTGAACCCAGTTTCCACGAGTAGCTTCTTCCTTTTGCATCCATACCAGAAAATCTCCGTAACTACTACACTACTAGCAGCTCAAATAAACAAAAATCCTTACTCAAATTAAACACAAAATTTATAATCTGAACAAAAAATCAAACCCATGAAACTGAAATTTCCACTTGCCAAATCATATCACTTTTGATTAATTAACCAAAAAAAAAACTTCATTTTACTAGCATTTCAGCATTCAAATCTCAACCGAGCTTCTTCTGAATCGCACAAGTTAAAAACACAATCCGGAATCACAAAATCAAGCTTATCAATACAACCGAATCAACGAAGTCAATAACTTAAGGAAAACAAAAAAAAAAAAAAACTAAAATTCGAGTTGAGCGATCAAAGAAAGACACAGACCTGCAAGGAATCAGCTCATCATCACAGCAGCAGGCAGAAAAGCAAATGCCGGAGAGGGTCCATTTACAGGCAGAGGGAGAAGAATTCTACTTAATTCCTTGCAAAATGACGGCGGATGATTTCACAGAGAGCAGCTTTTGTTGAAGGAGATCGAGCTATAATCGCCTTCTGCCCCCCATCTGGCACATATATATATATATATATATATATATATATATATATATATATATATATATATATATATATATATATATATATATATATATATACACTCCGTATTTGATTTGATCTACAGCTATCGCCCTACGAGAGACACGTGCAGCTTGCATTAACCGTTTACAGCTCCAGATGCTCTTCCTCTGTGACTGACTTGTAAAGACTCTCCTCGTTTTCACAAATTCATAACCCCTTCNTATATATATATATATATATATATATATATATATATATATATATATATATATATATATATATATATATATATATATATATATATACACTCCGTATTTGATTTGATCTACAGCTATCGCCCTACGAGAGACACGTGCAGCTTGCATTAACCGTTTACAGCTCCAGATGCTCTTCCTCTGTGACTGACTTGTAAAGACTCTCCTCGTTTTCACAAATTCATAACCCCTTCGTCCGTTACGTTTTTATCGAATTTATTACGCAGATTATATATTTCCTCCCTCCCCAAGACCCCAACTAATTTCTCTCCAATTCTTTTTTGAAGTGAAGGAAATTACTTAGAATTCTGAAGATCCACATCTAAAATATGAACATTCTCACATTTTTTATGAGTTTATATGTGGGTATTTTTTTTTTTTTGAAAATTTTAATTTTTTATACTACAAATACACTAAGATCTATATCATAAGTATAAAGCTTGGATTCACGAAAGAATTTGTCTGCATTTACGAATATTAATTTTTAAAAATTAGACAATTGTCAAAACCAACTCAACAAAAAAGTTAAACTAAGTGGTTGTAGATTTATACTCCAAGAACAATTTTTTACAAGTATTGGAAATACGAGTATGGAAAATATGTGAATAGGCTTGACAAATTTTTTGAATCGTCAATGATAAATTAAGAAATCTATATTGATAAGACTAAAATATAAACTTTTGTGATCTAAAAAAGATCAAACTTAAAAAATAAAAAGAAAAAAAACAACAAATACAACTTAAAAAACATGAATAGTCATGCCCCTCTTACTCTCAATTTTTAACAAACTTAGAGCATCTTCAATGAAGTTGTAAAAAAAGAGTTGTTAAATGTTATTTTAGCAATCGAATAGTATTATACTAATTACACCTATTTATTATATTTAATGTAACAAATACCCCCAACTATGATATATATAATTATTCTAATTATTGAATATTTTTACCTATTTAAAGAGTAGTTGTAAGAATAACAAGTAGATGAAAACTTCATTTTAAAGAGTGCATAGGGGTAATATCTGAGTCATATTTTTGAGAATTATATTGAGAGGCAACAATGCTAAGTATAAACATTCTGCAAGTTGCAGACTTCATTTTTTGCTAACAATCTTTGATTAAAGCACAAATTAATCTTTCTCAATTTTTGAAGGCACTCAGATGTTGCCCATATGCACTCTTTAATATAGTTACATTCAAAGTTATTTTTTATTTGATTTGTTCTAATTCTAATAATGTCGAGTAATAAATAATAAGAATAAATTAAAGAAAACATAGTTTTGTAAGAAGTATTTGGATACTCGCAACCTTTCGTGAAAGGAGCTTATTTATATTAGAGGTACTCCAACTCTAAACATTATAAACAAAAATAAATGTTTAACTTCAATTTGTAAGATGTAACAATAAGGTAATTACCACAAAACACATTTCGAGGGCACCAATAAATAACAATGACTAAATTGAAATTTATCATTTTTTCTCGTTTTATATTTTTTACCACAAAAATTGTGTTCGTACTTTGTTAAGTCCGATATTTTTACACTTGCATCCAATTTTTTTCTTCTTTTTCTATTAAATCTTTCAAAGTTGCTGTAATTAATATTTATTTTATTATAATTTTTTTGTTTTATATATTGAACAAATAGAAATTTACACAATTATCCCTAAATTTTATGAAACTTATATTTATATCCAACTGTTTTTAAAAAACTAATAATCAAAGAGGGCAGGGGAGTAATTATTGCTCCATGATATATAGAGTAATACTCCGTAAATAAGGATTAGAATAATCAAAAAACTTTTCATAATATAAATAAGGTCAATTGCAAACAATTTCGCAACTGTATGTTACAGTTTCAAGTGCCTTATAGATTCTGATATGCAACGAAGACAATATTTCCACAAATTGTACGAATTATGTAGTTTATAAAAAAATCTTTCGAAATAAGTAAAGCAAAAAAACTTTTGTATCTTAAAATAATAAAATCTCTATATTCTATTAGATATTACAGTATTTTCTATCAATCAAAAATGATCTTAATTTATTAACGTGAATAAGATCCGTGCAATACATGAGTGATACAACATGAAATTAAGTAACAATAGGTGGCTGTGGCCCGTGGCACAGTCAAACTATATCAGGTTTCTATACGAGTACATGACTTGCAAGAGGGAGGAGGGAAAAAAATTGTAAGAGAAACCAGTACTTTGGTATGAAGATAAGAAAATTGGTAACATCACAATGAAATACATTCCTAACTGTGCAAAAAATGATGCAAAATGCTACTTAAGTTTAATGATTGTTTGTGAAGTGCTGACGGTGTCAATCTTAGTGTCATCCGTGGTGTAACTGTAGCATGAATGCATGATCCATAAACGAATAAGCGCATCAAGAATCTGAGTGCTTTGGTAAAAACAGCAGCAACATATACATTCCAGGCCCTTGTATCAGTGCCCCCCACTCTTCTATCAATAGTCCAACCTGTCAAATGATGAAGAAAGTCATAGCAGGTTTATTGCAGCAGATCACTTGATCAAAACCAAGGGACTGAGTAAAACATAACAGCAAATACTAATGCATTATCCCACCAACCACATAGTACAGACAGACACCAACTGGATGAATTCCTATGATTTAGATGTTTGATTCTTGACAGAACCGTATATTGTTTTTATTGTTATTTAGTTTTTTAAAGGTCCCAAAATGCACTAGTTAGTTCACTTTTAGTTGCTCAGTGTCGTTCAACATAAGCTTTAGCCTTTCGGGAAAACTATCCAACGATAGCCCTTAGGCCTTAGCTCTAGCATTTTAAACGTTAAATCGCGCCATTAAAAATTATTCAAAACCGTTATGGGGAAGCATATCATTTGTCTTGCACTGATAGTAGCAAATTATCCTTTCCATAAACGCGTAAAACTTAACAAATCTCAATATTTACTATAGTAACTATAGCTTAACAAGTCACTTTATCTTTATCATGTAAGAAGCAATTAGAACCAAGTGCAGAACACACACACACACACACACACACACACATAAGCATAAAGTTTCATTTAGAAAGTATAGATGAACACAAAACACAAACTACTTCAAGGAGAAATACATACGTAGGAGAAGTTGAGCCATTAGAAGCATTGCAGAAGCCAGCAAACACATTTGAGTATGACCTAGTTAGGTATGCGAAGTTGGAAACCGGAGGTAGAGAATCAACCCGTTCACCTTTCTTCAAAAGCTCTTTCAGGTTGAGTCTCTGCAAGGTCAACACAGCTCCAGACTCCTTCCATACAAAAGCTAACAGTGAATCTTGGATCACATATAGTGAACCGGGTTTTGAACCAGGATACCTAAAACCATACCCATTGGCAATACCTTCTCCTGTAAAAGCAGTCTTCACATCAATGGGATTGCAATCTCCATCACTGTCCCATGGGAATTCATCCGGTGATGGCTCATTGACGCTCACTATAAACATGGCTGACCCATTAGGGTGTAAGACATAATGTGTGCCTTCTAATATCTTGGTGGCAATGAGTTTATTCACATCCGACTCCTCATAAGAAAGCAGAAGAAGAAACATAGCCTTTCCAGGCTTGTCTTCAGATGGCTTCCCTGGTGGCCAACCAAAAGTACCGCCCCACAGACCAGCATATTCTTGACCAGCTACAACAGACTGAACATGCAACTTGTAGAGAGCAAACTTACTGTCATGCATGTTCGGCCATGCCCTGTAAGAAGATAACTTTATAGTGGAAGCATGTAAACTGAGTCCAATGGTTTCCCCCAGTTGCAGAAACTCAAGAAGCCGTGCGTGCTTGTAGTTGCCACTACTGGATAAATGGCCGTGATTCATAGAACTTGACTTTCCCAATATCTGTTTCAGACTTTCCCTAATGTGTCCCACAAAGGTTTTCTTCTTCTGAGTCGGAGATTCAATTCCACTTGCTTGATCAAGATTCTGCCTTATCTCACTCAAACTAAGATGCGGAGAATCTAGATGTATTTCTTGGCAATTCCTCCCATCAACCTTATGCAATTGCATTAGCAGCAATCTTCTTTCATACAAGACTGTCATATCCTGCTTCATTTGAGCCTCATTGATGGTCATACGTGGAAAGAGTAGAACATTAGCTGCTTCTGGAACTTCCAGACGAACCTTGCTAGTGACTGTGTCCAGTAACTTTCTCCTATCGCCAAAACCCAACCGGTTAAACTTCACTTCAGATTCAATCTGTCCACCAGGCTCAACCTCTAACAAAAGAACATTGCAAGTCCTATCAACCGGCTTAAGGAAACCAGGATAAACACAGTCGTTTCCTCTCTCCCTGCCGTGAAGAAAGAATGCAGGCAAGCCCTCATAATCGCAAACAATTTCAAACACGGGAGCCCAAAGAATCGGCCCGTCTTCAAGGCCTAACGGACCAAGCTCTTGGGGGATGATCCGGCAACCGATGACCGAAAGGAAACCGGGCATGACATAAACAACGTTTCCAAGTTCAGGGTTTTGATGAACCCAAATGCCTAGCAAAGGGCTTATGCCCACGAGGAAACGGCATATGGCCTTGAAAGAAGAAACCCCCTTTCTCCATTCAATCAGTTCACAGTGGGAAACCAACCCTAGTGCCTCACATTGGGCAAGCCATATCTTTTCGGAGGTCACCAGCTCTTGAAAACTCTTGCAGCAAAGGGTGAGATTGCACACATCCCTCGGGGATAGGGATTTGGCCACTGCCGCAAACAAATCATCAGGGAGCGCCAGAATGAAGCTTGACCCACAACAGCCTTCAGGCATCATTCTGAATCTCCCCTAATCACTATTATGATCTCCCAATCTCTTAAGAAAAATTCAAGATCTCGCTACAATTCTATCCACAGATATGCACAATTCAATAAAGTCTAATCAAAACGGAAGAGGAAAAAAAACAAAACAAAACAAGCTCAGAGCGTATGGGCAAGTAGACGGGAGATCCAATCCGCGCCTGCAAATTGAAGAAACTCTCGCCTGAAATCCTTGATAAAAAATCTCATTTTTACAGCCCAGAAGTGTTTCCGAGTCTGAAATCTACGGAATCAAATGATACGTGCTACGGAAAAAGAAAGAGAAGTGGAAGAAGAAGAAGCTGAGGGAGAAGTGTGTAGGACATGGGCGCCGCAATGATTGCGTGTCTGAAGCATACAGAAAAAAGAAAAGGGGGGGCGCATGTTAGGCTTGGGAATTAGTGATGACGTTGTCCCCCACTGAGACCGCCATTATTATTGAAACCTGGAACCGGAAGCCATGGCCGACGATCATCGCAGCTCGTTGCCGCATCGGTACGGCGCTTGTCGTCATCCCGATTCCCGAGCAGCAGCAGCAGCAGCAGCAACAATCCCAATGAGGAATTGTCAAAAGTGGACGCCAACTTCAAAGTCGTTCATGCGGTCCGAGCAAGTCACGTCGACGGACGCCGTCTCCAGTCACCAATTCTTTTCTTTTCTTTTTTGAGCTGACAGCCTTGTAATTGTTCGCATTTTTTTAAAAAACCGAGTAATTGAATTATTGATGATAAGATAAGTGACAAAATAAGTATGAAAAAAATAAAAAGAAAAAAATGAAACGAAAGAAAAAATCAATTAGAAAAACGCAAAGGAGCCTAACTCTATTTGCATCCATATTCACCAATTTTAATATTCTTATAGTGGTGAGATTAAAATATATAGATATTCAAATTGAAATATTATTCTTATGTTCAAGTGCAGTGAAAATCTATATGTTAACGCTTTCAACAATTAATTTTAATTACAAAATAAACAAATTTAAAAAATTTCATGACCGTGCATCGCACGGGTATGAATCTAGTTGTCTAATAATGAAGAGAAAAGATTTTGTGTTCAAATTCATATACATTGATAAGAAAATGATGAAAAAATAAGAAAAGTTAAGAAACACAGAAGAAATGATCTTTCATCCTCTATGGTGAGAAAACTTTTCATGAAATTTTATACTCTGTACTTTATTTTCATTCCTCCTAATTTCTCACTTATTCAAACAAGTGAATTTATATTGATTTTTGTTTTTTATCATCTAAATTTTTTTTTTCAATAATTTTTCAATATCTAAACAATATAGCTAAAAGAGCATGTAGCCCTGCAGCATTATCTCATACATTAGCATTCTACTCCGTATTAATTTTCAGCTCCGCTCCAAAATACCTGAAATGCTCTCGTCTTCTCGCCTTGTCTCTCTATTTTTACATTATTTATCACTTTTTATTAAAAATTTCAATAAATTTTAATAAAAATATTCAATTATTAATAAATAGATGAATAATTTTTTAAAAAATAAAAAATATTTGTAAAAAATAAAAATTAAAAAATAAGCAAATATCACGTCAAAATTAATAAAAAAAAGGAAATTTAACGTGCTTGACGTAATGACATTAAAATTAAATATACAGACACTAAAAAAATTACTTGGATAATTAAAAATAAAAAAATAAATAATACTCCGTAATTATTTGTCCTACTTATCATTTTTTACCTATCTAAACAATAATTATTTTCTTTTCATTTTCTTTCCAATTTCTTTCCTCTCATTTTCTTTCATTTCATTTTCTTCCCCTCATGTACTTCCAAGTCCAATAAGTGAATAAACCCACCTTTGTTATATCAAAAGAGGAAGGCTAGGGGTACACCATTTGGGGTACCCCATTTGTACACCATCAATCTTAATCCTCCATTTCTTTTTTTATTTTTAAATTTGTTTTCCTCTCTTGCTTTTGTGTGGTGAAAATGGAGGGGTACAAATGAGATACCCCAAATGGTGTACCCCTAGCTTTTTTCATATCAAAATGATGTACTTTCTCAATTTGCTCAAAAAAAAAAAAAATCACCCTAACCGTGGGTACATTGATGGCGGGAAAATCAGACTAGGAACTCGATCCTTCAAACCAGGGCGGATTTAGACACAGATCGAAGTAGTAAGAAAAACCAGTAGCGGTGGCGCCATGGCCGTAACCGTGCTGAATGTGGCGGAGAAACCGTCAGTGGCGAAGGCGGTGGCGGGGATACTGTCGAACAACCAAATGAGGTCTAGGAATGGGCGATCCGTATACAACAAGATATTTGAGTTTAACTACAACATCCAAAACCAGCCTTGCCAGATGCTATTCACCTCCGTCACGGGGCACCTCATGGAGCTCGAATTTGATGAGCGATACCGGAAGTGGCACTCATGCGATCCCGTCGATCTCTACGCCGCCCCAGTTCGGAAACATGTACCGGAGGTACTTGAATGCTTACGGCCATTAGAACACTTCTATGGTTTCATTTGTTGAATGCTCTTTGTTTCCGTATCAATTTCTGTTTGCTTAGCGATGGGAATAACTTCTCCAATCTAGACCGGGTGTTCCTGGGCATATGCCCGGCCAACCGGACCATTTCATATTCACATGCCTAAACTGCAAGTTTAGGGGCAGGTTTCATGCCCCTAGCCTCCGAAGTTTAGGGACACATGCCACTCACACGGTGAAATTTGGCACTGCATATCATCTCCATGCTAAAATTGCCTCCTCCTCTCTCATCAGAGGAGAGGAAACCCTATTCTGATCATCGCCATTTAGTTGTATTATCTGCCCACGGACCTTTCCCTCTTTCCAAACATATCAAAATACCTACCCCCTTCCCCCATTGGCAATGTATCGCCCAAAAGGCCCATGTTTCCACATCCCTGGGTTTCCACATATAATTATTTGTCACACTAACTAACGTGGTTTCCCCACCGGGCTAAACTGGCTGCTGGCGTAGTAGATCGGGCTCAAGTCGATTAGCATCATCACTTAGCATAGATAACTGGTATAAATGTAGTTGTCTTTCTCCATAAATGAAGATGCTTCTATGGTGCACTTCTCCCATGGTATTTTGGATTGTGAGTTGTGAGTTTTTCCATTTGATCACATTGCTGGGAAATGCAGGATAAACTAGATATTAGAAGAACATTGGAGGAAGAGTCTCGAAGATGCCAATGGCTTATACTGTGGCTCGATTGTGATAGGGAAGGAGAAAATATTGCATTTGAGGTGTTGGAAGTATGCAAACAAGCTAACCGTAACCTTAATGTGTGGAGGGCTCGCTTCTCTGCTCTGATTGACAGGTTCAGTTTGCTAACTAGCTGGCAGAAAATTATTATATTCCTCTACCATTACCATACTTTATATACTTCTGGGTTCACCAGGGAAATTCGTCGGGCAGTGCAAGGGCTTGAGCAGCCTAATCAGTTGTTAGCTGATGCTGTTGATGTGAGACAAGTGAGTACTTACAGGGGATTTCAGTCATTCCGCTTTCTGTTTCTTGTCTACCATAAAATTGTTTCGTTTTGTAGTCTTTGGGATTATAGACTGTAAATGTGGATTGGTTTCAGACTGCCGATATTTGTTACTCTAACTTGCTACCTATGAAGCCTTGCTTTCAGACTGTTGATATTCGTTACTCTAACTTGCTACCAGTGAAGCCTACCTACTAGCTCATTGTCCAATATCTAATCTCTGCAGGAAATAGATCTTCGCATAGGTGCGTCTTTCACAAGATTTCAAACAATGCTATTGAGAGATGCATTTGTCATTGATTTTGCTCCAGATGACAGAAACCTTGTCCTGAGTTATGGTCCTTGTCAAGTAAGCATATCCTTAATACAGTTAATCTGTGTTATAGAACTTACGTACAGCCTTCACAATACAGCAAGGAAAGATAAAGCTACATTAATTTCAGAATAGCTATTAGAGATTTCAAAATCTGCAAAATCAGATATCTTTGTATGATGCAGTTTCCTACTCTTGGTTTTGTGGTTGAGCGGTACTGGGAAATACAAGCTCATGAACCTGAAGAATTTTGGGCAATCAATTGTACTCACACTTCAGATGAGGGCACTGCTAGCTTTAGCTGGATGTAATTATTGCACTTGCTATTATTAACACGAGTATATTATCAATCAATTTATATATCGTATGACCTAAAAGTGGGTTTTATTTTGCAGGCGAGGGAACTTGTTTGATTATACAAGTGCAGTAATTATTTATGAAATGTGTGTGCAGGAACCAACTGCAACGGTGAGTCCCATGAAGTCTTTCTTTTAGCTAGTGCTCTTTCACACTAATTAATGAGACACAACTAGTCAATAAACTAATTGCAGTTATTATGTTATTGACAGGTGACTAAAGTTAGGCAGCAGGAGAAGCTGAAATATCCTCCACACCCATTAAACACCATTGAGCTTGAGAAGCGTGCATCAAGATATTTCAGAATGAGTTCTGCACAAACTATGAAGGTTACTTTGAAGCTAACCCGTGGTTTATTGTGTATATCTTCAGCAAGACTTTGTTGATTTTGATACACTTATGATTTGTTTGGACTAAATTCCTATAGGGGTTATGATTTATGAATGCCTATTGCTTTCCTTATCAATTTTTTTGAGCTGCATGGTATACTTCAAATTGTAGGGAATTTAATTGGTATTCCCCATATTTCTTAGGTGGCTGAAGATCTTTACCAACAGGGTTTTATTAGCTATCCACGCACTGAGACTGACCGGTTCTCCGTTGATGGCATTGCAAATTTGCCTGTATGTTACTATTCTCCCTTCATCATATGCGAGTTGTTCTTTTATGCAGTGCTAGTAATGGCTCAACCTAATGAAGAAATATAACACTTTTGCTTGTCTATGATTGAAGTTTTAGTAACAGAGAGATTAAAAGTTTAGCGTCACCATAGTCCATAATACTTGTGAACTTGATTGCCTCAAAACAATAGTTAATAACTAAATGCTGAAATGCTGCAATAGTCCGTGGACTACATCATTCTTTCTGATGCAGACAACTGTGCGAGAGCAAGAAGGGCATCCAGTATGGGGCCCTTATGCCCAGCGCTTGTTGGACCCTGATTCAGGTCTTTGGAGAGACCCTAGAGGTGGAGTGAATGATGACAAGGCCCATCCTCCTATTCACCCAACTAGATTTTCTGCCGGAGAATCTGGATGGAGTCAGGATCATCATGTAAGTATTACTCCTCCTGTAATCACTTGCTTCTTAGGATTAAGCAACATTTGTGCTATATATGCTTAATTATGCTTTTATTACTCCTGATCTGGTCAATATTCTTTCTACTGGCGATCTCATTTTTTGTGCAGAGAGTGTATGAATTAGTTGTTCGCCATTTCTTGGCATGTGTCTCTCAACCAGCCAAAGGAGCTGAGACCATAGTTGAAATTGATATTGCTGGTGAACAATTTTCAACATGTGGGAGAACAATAATTGCTGTGAGTTTCTGGTTGCACCAACAATATATATCTTTTACATCACATACATTGGGTTCTTTCTGCTGAACTTGTTTCATGGCTAGACATTCATACTTTGCTTGGGAGTTGGGATATTAATGACCACAAGTGTTCAACAGTTACACTCTACGGAGTATTAATTCTTCATATTCTTTTTCTTGAAATAGAGAATGTATATTTTAGCTTCCACATGCAATTATCTGCTTTGCAAAAGAAAAAAAAATCAAGGAAGGTTTCCTAGATACTCTTACCAGTTACCACACTCTCCGTTTGTGGCGTCATCACCCACTGTTTATGCCCTTTTATCATTGTCAGTTTTTTAATAGCAAAATGACCTTTTCTCATTCAATAACAAAAGCACAAAACTATGTTTTTGTTATGATTTTGTGTGGTGCATATGGTTTTTCACTTACGACATAATGCATTTAAGTGGTAAACCATTTGTTTACCCTACATCCAAGGATAATATTTTTATTACTTTTGACATCTGATATAACTTCTCTTTATTGTTCATAAATAAGTACCTGCATGTTATACTAGTACACTTTTGATTCCAAATTTCTGTTTGACCTGGATTCCTTACTAAGCAAGAAGATCAATGATTAATGGATGTCATATTGTGCAGAAAAACTACTTGGATGTCTACAGATTTGAATCATGGGGGGATTCAGTGATTCCAACATACATTTTTGGACAGCAGGTTTGTCATCAAATACTTGTACCTGTTTCTAGTCAAATTATCAAGTTTACCATTTATGAAGGGGAAAATGTGATAAACAAAGTGTACCAGTTAACTTCTGCAATGTGCTACACTTTCGATTGGTTATAGATTGAATTAAGTATACATGTAAACATCATATTTTTCTGAGTGCTGAAGAAATTTTTGCAGTTTACCCCAACAACACTGACTCTTGATTCGGGAGTTACACGACCTCCTCCACTTTTAAGTGAGGCTGATCTTCTAAGTTGTATGGACAAGGTAAGATGCCTTAGTATTATGTTAAAAGGCGACACATCGAGTTGTTTCATTTGATCGCTTTTAGTTGCCAAATTATTTGGTTGTTGACACTTTTGATTTATTCTTAATTTTGATAGGCAGGAATTGGTACGGATGCAACAATGCATGATCACATAAAGAAATTGCTTGATCGATTTTATGCAACGAAAGACGCAAACACCCGTTTCTCACCTACGAAACTTGTAAGCTTCTCATATCTAGCATTGGTTTGTCTCTTATCTGCGCCTCATGTTTTTGCAATCATTACTTACTATGATGTATGATATCATGATTAAAACACATCTTTTTGGATGAATGAAGAATGATGCCCATGTAGAAGTCATTTTTCTGTCATACCACACTCATGTCAAATTAATCATTTCCCTTCCCAAATTACACTCACTTGGAGGGATTAGGATGTCATCAAGAAGTTCCCTGGACAATCTACTACTGAAATTTGGGGAATATATCAGATTATCAGCATGATTTTTTATGCAGGAGGCTTCTGTAATAGTAGTTGCCTAGTGCTATCAACTTGTTTTATCATTAAACACTGATAGGGTATATGTGGGCCGAGAATGCAATTTTTGTTGATCCCTTTTCGCTGAATGAGTTGTGGATTGTCAACCATATGTGGCAAAGCCGGTTCCATATAACTTGGGTCTAGACTATCAATTTACCACTACTATCCAGCTATCCTTATGTTTAATGACAATTTTTTATTCTTGTCATTTTATTGTTCCATTTGGATCTTTATAGCAACATGTTATTTGGTTATTTGAGTGTTCTTGTATATATGATGATCATTATTCATTTTGCAGGGGGAAGCTCTGGTAATGGGATATGATGATATGGGGTTAGAATACAACTATTTCCTCTTTTAAAGTTCATTACTTAATTATCATACTATGTAATAATGAGAAAATGACTTCATAAATCATAAGTGTTGACTCAATAAGTAGTAATTATAAACTCGTGGTGTAACATTATCAATTATCCATTGTATCATATTACTCATATGGTTCCTTCAAAAAAAATATTACTCATATGGTCATGTAAGAAATAGTCTAGTGTCTTGCATCTTTACTTCTCTTTTTAACACTTTTTAAACACTTCTTTTATTTCAATTGGGCACTTCTTTTTAGAAGGTAAAGTTTCGTTTATTGGGTACTATCAGTAAGTTGAGGCATTCTTACCCACATATAAATATATAATTAACCTTATGGTAGTTAATAGTTTTTATGAAGTTGTTGGTTTCACCTCTAGAGTAGTGTATATGAACATTAAATATTTAAATCTATAGGTTTCTAGACTTGAGATCTCAGAGAAAGGTTTTTACCATAAGTATATTTAAGATTATCTCCTTCCAATGTTCTAATTAAAAAAAAAACTTTCTCCAGCAAGTTTGGCGACTTTGAAGCAACTCTGGCCAAATAAGACAACAGCTGATCTCTTTCCTATTTCTCTACAAAGTATAAACGTAAAAAGGAGCGGATCCATCTCAATCAAGATCGCTTGAAAAATGAAACATAATAAAACTCGCAGTGATCGAGGCGGAGAGGAAGAAATTGAGGTCCCGTCTTGGAGCCGCTTGGAAATTTTCAGGTGACATGAGGCACCACACTCTTCCGGTAAGAGGGCTTGGGTGGGTGAAAGAGATAGAGAAAAGGCTGCATGAAATGAACGAGAGATATACTGGAAGGGTATATCCCTGTGGAGACGTTGCAGGAAGCGCATATCCTCAAAAAAGACTTTGCTAATCTTAGACCATATCATGGGAACACACTGCTTAGCCTCAGTGTGGACAATATGCTGCTTCATTTATGGCTGTTGTGGTGCAAGTGTTGGTTGTCGACAACAATTTATGTGCCTACTGGCGTCTTGGCTTAGCAGACTAGTAAATAAATGTCAATGAACCATTTTAATCAAAATCTTAAGCTTATGGTTGGAGGTCAAGGAAATGTTTATACTCTAACACTCCCTTTGCGTGAATGGCTTTTGGGCCTAGAAGCATGGCTGCAAGAAAAGCTCTTTCGTACCTTGCACATAAATCACTATGGGGCTATTAAGAATTTAGCTCTTGACATATAGGTCAAGAAGACTATACCATGTCATGGAACCAACTCAACCAAAAGTTTAAAATAATGGTTAGAGGTTCAAGAAATGTCACCATTATTTATTTTAAAAAACTCCAAGTCTCTAACACTATAACTAAGCATGAGTAGCTTAACTGAAAAAGTATCTGTAACCTCAAATACGAAAGAATTGCAATGTTTTACTTCTTTTGTTTTTGGGATGTTGAAAATAATTTTATTAGAGGAGTATACTAAGTAATTACGGTCGTGGAAGAGTATGACTGGCCTTCTTTTTTCCTTTCAGTTATGAACTGGGAAAACCATATCTGCGTGCAGCGATGGAACGTGATATGAAAGAAGTTAGCAATGGCACGAAGGGAAAAACTGAGGTTTTGGAGACCTGTTTGCAGCAAATGAAGTCTTGCTTTATAGATGTAAGTCAATGCCTGATATGTTGTTGACATTCTTGCCTCAGCATTTGTTAGCATCTTCTGATCTACTTTGTCAAATTTATTGTAACTCAATGTCTACTGAATGCCCTGTAATTCTTGTCATATAGCTTTTTGATATGGAGATTTATGGAAACAATTTATTTTCATCATTAAATTATACTGAGTCTATAAAAACCTTATTGGTTTCATCATTAAATGCTCCAGACCGCCATCAATCGTTTTTTCCCTCAAGGCATGAGTCTGTCTGCACCATGTAAGCTGACTGTGAAGTCCTTTTATGGGTTATATATTATAGCGGGCAAGCCTTCTGAAAAGGAGTTCATAATGACTAATGTGAGCTGATCACTGATCCAACACTTATCCCTCTCTCTTACTTTGGGACATGAGGAAGTGGCACACATATTAAGGAAAAGTGGAATTGTCTGGTTTATATGAAATATGTAAAGTATGTATAAAGTAGGCATGATTTTAAACTTCAAACCACACAAATATAAGATATATGGAAATATGGAATGTGACAAAGATAGTGAGATGAAGAAAAATGGCAAAAAGATACTAATATAAGGGGACATGGGATTATCAAATAGTAGTTTTAAAAAACTTGTGAAACTTGATAAAGGGTGGACGCTCTTTATGTTCCTCAATTGTAATTCTTTTATTTGTGTATTGCAACATCTTTAGTTGTTTATCTTCATGGAGTAAATGATCCACATCCTTTGTTGTTTAAAGCACACGTGTTGCATATTTACTTGCATGAAGCCTGAACCTTTTACTTGCTAGTTTTTTATGTGAGCTCATTGCAATAACAATATAACATTCGCGTATGTGATTCCTTTCTATCTTCAAAATCAATTCCTTATTAAACCAAAATCTTCACAGGCTAGGGTAAAAAAGGGAAAGCTCCTCGAGGCCATGGCTGTGTTCTTTGACAGGTTTGGCTTCACTCATGTGTGTGAGTCATTCCTACCTTTGAATTTTTATTTTCTTTTCTCTATCTTTACAGATCAAACAGACCCAATGCCAGTGAGCCACATATGGCTGGATCTGTTGTTCGTAAATGTGGACTTTGCCGGGAATCAGATATGGTCCTTAGACAGAAACCGGTAATTGTTACCCATTCCAAGTGAACTGCTAGTACAACACAATCTTGTGGGGTTGTTTTTTTTTGTAATCTATACTACATTTCACCAACTCTACCTTCAAGGCTTCAATCATATGCATATGCTTCCCTTCAGAAGTTTTTTAGATAATAGAAGTAAAAAGAGATTGACTCTTTCCCCACGTGTCCTGGATCGGTGTAATGATACAGGCCGGGGATGCACAGAATGAGCTGTACATTCAGGAAAGGAGCACAAATAGGCCATATTTGAGACTCGAATAATTGGGATTAAACTTCTGCTTTAATTATTACTTAAGGTTATTTTTTAGTTAGTCTGTTATTCATTAAGTTATCTGTACTAATTTCATTAGATTTTTTTCGCTACTCTTTCATTATAAAGAAGGAAACTCCATTGAATTAATAGACAAACAAGATTCAGCATAAAAGCTACGGAGTTTCAGGTCTAATTGGTCTCAACAAACCAACGCTAGGAAGTTCGAGTTCTCAGCAAAATCCCAACTATCTGCAATTTCATAAACAATCATTCTCTTCTCTTCTCAATCAAGCCCAAGATATTTTTACATTGGGACTTGGGGGAGCCAGCTCTCTCATATTATCTCTCATCCTCTGCTGTTAATACCAAAGTGTCATGTTTTCCTTGATTTTGTCGCTTCAGTTTTGATGTATAGTTGAAGCATTGAGAATTTTTTTTATAGTCCTTGAGAGTCCATTTATCCATTCTGTTTTGCAGACTTTTTCACGTTGCATTTGAGTTCCAGAATAGTAGTCTTCTTTCTTCATTGTGTTTTGTGATATGATGTTTCTTGTGTTTGATGCAGGATGGAAAGTTTATGGTTGGCTGCCTAGGCTATCCACAAGTAGGTGCTCATGCCATGTTTCTACCTTCATATGTTAATGATGACATGATGTTGTCAACAACTCATTTTCAAGATCTATGGAAACAGATGTAACTCTAAATATGACAAAAACCTCACAACATTTCTACCTTCTTCTTTACTTCCACAATATTTACACATGATTAGATTCATTCCCTATCGTGTTGCAACATGCCATCCCTATCATAAATACATGTATCATCACCTTGTTCATGCAAACTAGCCAGTAGCAAGTTAAGTACTTTTTATGGTCATCAAGCATCAATCCACACCATGATTGGTATACAAAATGATTGACTACAGTGCCTTTAAGTCTTTTGTTATAGAATACCATATGAATTTTGTACTTTCAATTTTCATTTCATCCTTTATTTAGTGTGTGCTGGAGTTGATGATCTTAGAGTGCTCTACCAAGCACCTGCTATATTGACAATTGCTCCAAATGAAAATCTTCCATCATTGCAACTCTCTCCCCACTTCCACACAATTTTATTTGGGGATCAGTTCCATAAGTGTCATGTATCTCTGGTTTTAATGTTGGTAACATATATTGAAGTGTTGAATTTCTTCAGTCCAGTCTTGACCACATTTACTTTTGATTCACTTTTTTGAGCATTTATACAGTGTAGAAATGCAGTCTGGCTACCAGGGTGCATATTAGAAGCAGTTGTAACCCAAAATATATGCAGTGTCTGTGCTCCAGGTTCTGTCTTTTAACACTTAATATTTATATTGCTTCAATTTTGTTTAGTACTGATGTTGGCAGGTCTAACAGGACCAGTGTTGAAGATTCAGTTTAAATTTCGACGTCTTGAAATACCACCCGATTTTGATGTTGAACACTTAGGTATGCTGTTTTGCATATCATGTTCTTTTTCTCCACCCAAAGGGCCAAACCGTGAACCCATTTAACCATTTCAATATTTATATTCCTGGAATGAACATTGCTTTCCACTGCATTATATACCCCTAAATTTGAATGCAGAAAACTTCAGTATGTTGAAATTTAGTACACGTTTGTTCCCAAGGGATAACTTTCTCCCTATTTTTTTGTGCTGAGCACTACAATTCTTCTTGTTTTGAAAAGATAATTGTTCAGAAAGCCAATGGGAATAATGTAATTGTTAGGTTATGGACTTCTTGCCTGATTGACGGTGTAGAACTAATCTGGATGTAATGGGATAGGATTACTATAGGACATCCCTTCATTGGTTAAATTTTGGTCTAAAATTCAACACTGGTGAATATAAATAGCCAATCCTTTTCATGGGTTGTTTAGGACAAGTTTTTTGAAAGAACGTTTTCATTTGGTGCAAACCATCCCTGTTTTTAATTATGCATATTTTATGTTGTGTTTCCATTTCGTGGCAGGCTGTGTTGGTGGCTGTGATGAAACTCTCAGGCAGCTAGTGGAAATTTGTGGAACTGGTTCCAGGAATAATTCCAGCATACCTGGTATGTGGTTTAGACCTATTCAATTCAATATGTACTCTCTGCGATGTTCTTTATTTGCTGCTATTTAAATGCAAATACATCTTTTGCCTAGTATCTAGTACTTTGATTAGGAGCAATCAACTCGTTTGTTATATCAAGCTTTTCTTGTTTCGATAACTGCAACTTTGCAAGTAATGTTGGATGTTCATGAACAACTAAAATGTGACCTTAGTTATTTTGAAATTGTTTCAATCAGTTAGCAATAATTTCTAGTAAGAAAATAAAAATTCGGACATCAGAACTGGTTTAGATAATAAACTGACCTCATTGTGGTTATGGTTCTTTTTCCAGCTAGAGGAGGCCATACAACACCTTCCATCCAGCGAAGCAATCCTAGGCCTCAGGTTGCTTGTTATCACTGCATGCAAACAGGACATTCTTCAAATGATTGCCCTTCACAGTCATCCCGCCGGCGTTCTTTTCAGCCCACTGCTAATGAAGTTTGCAGACCAAATGGTTTGATTCTCCAGCTTTCTCTTTTTTTTTTCACTTGTCAAAAACAGTTGTGTTGAATGGTTCATCATACCTAACATTCTTTCATTTTGACTAGGAGAACCCTCTATTCCTTGTAATTCCTGTGGTGCTCCGTGTGCTCTACGAACTGCAAACACCGCAAACAATAGAGGCAGAAAGTTCTATTCTTGCCAGTCCCGAGAATGCAACTTTTTCGTGTATGTTTACTTCATCTCTGCTCTATACTCTTCTCTAACAGACATAATATATACTCCGTGTGTGTGTGTGAGAGAGAGAGAGATGCAATGGGAAAGAAGGAAGAAGAAAAAGAACATAATAGTAGTTGGAAAGGAGCATTTGAGTTAAAGGATGATTTTATTTGGTTGTAATGGGGCAGATGGGAAGATGGGGGCATGGGTAGAGGGGGCCCATCAGGAAATACGAGCAGCAGCAGCAGCAACATGGCGTCTAATTCAAGAAGGGGCGGGCGGGGGAGGGGACGTGGCAGAAGCAGGGGCGGCACCGCCACCACTCATGCCAACGGTGGCAGTGTTACTTTCGTTTCAGCAACAGGCGAACCAACAACAGGTTGTTGTTTCATATGTGGCGATCCATCCCACTTCGCCAACGTTTGCCCTGATCGTCGAAGATGAAAGCACAACTTCATTTTCACTTGAAGATTGAAAAGATAATTTCCTTTGTGTGTGCTTGGTTAGGGACTGACTGTAGTTTTAACCTTCTATATCTCCTAGTCTAATTTTATGAAATACTACCTTCGTCTCTAATTAGTCGTCCTATATATTTTTCATATTTAATCTATCCCAAAATCAATGTTCTACTCCTTCGTCCCGACTACCTAGTTTACACTTTAAAATGTATATCTCTTTAGTTAAAAAAACCGAAAGTAAATTCAAATAAAGAAAGATAATAAATTGAAAAAAGAGTAATTAAATGCAAAAAATGCTTATAAAACTTACTCCTTCGTCCCGTTCTAAAACGTTCTTCCTAGTTATTATTCACACGGTCAAATTTTAATCACGTTCTTCCTAGTTTGTCTCTTATTTGATAAATGAAAAATAAATAAATAGATACATAAATATATACGGGACAACGGGACGAAATAATGGATATGAATTCTTGCCCGTCCCTATTGGAGTAATTAGGACCATTTATGTGATTTACTTTAAACTAAATGTTATAAAAATTTTATGCAGTTCGATATGTATTAAAATAACATCCTAAAATGATCCCATTTATGTTAAATATACGGAGTGCATTATAACTAAATACTCTCTCCGTCCTTGAAAATCTTACTCATTTCTTTTTTTCTTCCGTCCTAAAAAACATTTCTCATTTTTATTAAGAAGTTACTTTTACACATACTAAATCTCGACCTACACATTGCATCACGTTTATTCACTATTAATCTATCCATCAAATCGTACTTTCATCAATCACATCCAAGAATATTTTTGGAAACTCAATACCAAAATAAACTCTCCTTAAATCTCTTAAAAATCAAAACTTCTTATATTTTCAGGGACGGAGGGGGTATATTATTTTTACGACTTGTGGTTACAGTGTGCAAGATTATTATTTTTTAAATTCAAAATATGGAAAGGATTTTTGATACGGAGAATGCGTATGTTTGGTCGATGATAATCCAAACAAAGCATTAGCTTATACTGCATCCGTTCTAAAATTATCTTTTTAATTTGACTTTGAGTAATCAAAATTTTTATAAATATAATTTGTTATAGTAATGGTTAAAATTAAATTAGTACGGAGTATTAAATTAGAGACCCTCAAAATTAATATGGAAATTAATTCTATTAGCAAGGAGAGAATACTCTACATATATACACGTGTTGGTAAGGTAGTATATGGCACGTACGAAGTAAATTATAGATTTAGAAACAAGGATTGAGAAATTATGGATTGAGGGTATAAATATGGATAGATTAAAACATTGGATAAGTTGAAAATGAATTTGGGATGTTGAAAAATACGGATTAAATGTGAAATTTGCACTAAATAGGACTAAAACATAACGACTTTCTTAATGTAGGACTTAAACTTTTTTATTCCATAAATAGGATTTAATAATGACCTAGTGGAAGGAATAATGTCCAATAATAATGCACATTTAGTTGAATAATGACTTCGTGATAATGACCAAAGGTCCTACATTGGGAAATAAAAACATATGGTCCTATATTGGGAAAGTCATTATGTTTTAGTCATATTTCTCGGAGTAAATCCATAATTAACTTATTATTACACGGAAGATTGATTATGTATGTATGATAGGGATTTAGAAAGTGTTTTATTAGGAAAGGAAATTTTAAGTTATGGATGGGGAAGAAGAAATTAGTAAAGTAAAAGGGATAAGATTAATGGATGACGACAGGGCACTGTACAATCCAAACCAAAATTGCCATATTGGGGCGGGCGGGTGTTGTACGTGTAGTATAAATAGAGGCCATATATGCATTCTATACCCATCCCCAAAACTGCAACCTAACTAATAATAATACAATCCAATCCAATCCTTACTATAAACTACGTACGTACAATGATGTCTTCTACCTCAAACGTGGTGGCCGCCGCCGTGGGATCATCATCCCAAGGAGGAGCTTCTGCTGCTGCTGCTACTCCCATTGTCCCTCCGCCGTCGCCGACGACCATTAAGGTGGACGTTGTGGTGTCACAAGATATAACCACCCCCACCCCGACTGCATGCAAGACCATAAACGAAGCACTCACGAGAGCCCCCGCAGACGGTGTGACTCCATTCGCGATTTACGTATGGCCGGGACCTACCCAGAGTACGTCACCATCAAGAGGAGCAACGTCACCCTTCTCGGCGATGGCATTGGCAAGACCATCATCACCGGGGATAAGAACGTTCATGACGCCGCCGGCCGCGTGTCAACCTATTACACTGCAACCCTCAGTAAGTTATATTAGTCCAATTCAATCATCTCCTCTCTTTGTGTTGTTTTTTTTTTTTTTTTTAAATTAAGATTAATTAATAATGCGTGCGTGCATGCATGCATGCAGTTGTGGAGGGAGATGGGTTTATTGGTTCGGGCATAACTGTCAAGAACACGGCGGGACCGGAAAAGGAACAGGCGGTGGCGACGAGGACGAGCGCCAACCAGGCGGCATTCTACCGATGCAGCTTCGAAGGCTACCAAGACACTCTCTACGTCAACAAAGGGGTTCAGTTCTACAGAGAATGCGACATCTACGGCTCCGTCGACTTCATCTTCTCCCAAACCGTCAAAGCAGTGTTCCAGAACTGCAGGATTTACGCGAGAAACCCCGGTGGCTAGGGGAAGTACAACACCATCACCGCCGACGGGAGGAGCGGCCCGAATGATCCGTGGGGGATATGCATCTGTTAGACAATAATATTAAGTATTCCTAGTTATGGTAGAAGTTGTATTTTAGTTAGTTTCTATTCTCTATTCCTAGTTGTGTTAGGAGTCTCTTCTATATATACTCTATCATGTACTCCCTCCGTCCCAAAAAGTTTGTTACGTTTAGAAAAAATTGCGTCCCTTAAAGTCCGTTACATTTCTATTAAAAAACCACTTTTACCCCTTACTTTTTCATACCCTACCTATCACATCATACCTTTTTTCTAATAATCTACCCATCACATCCTACTTTTACCTATCACATCAAGGGTATTTTTGAAAATTAAATACCAAAATATCCCTCCCTTAATTTCCCAAAAAGTCAAACCGTCCAATTCTTTTTGGGACGGAGGGAGTACTTCATAATTCAAGGAGCAATATTATTATTCCAATATTTCAACATGGTATCAGAGCCACCGCTCTTGGTGACCTAAAAAAAAGTTCTTTGCTCCCACCGCCGCCGCCGGTAATTCCGGCGACGGCGGCTCCACCCTATTCACCTCTATTTTCTTTTCCTTCTTTATCCTTAAATCAACTTCTCCATTCAAATGAAAAAAAAGGGAAAAAAACACTGTTGAAATCACACAAATTAAAAAAAAACTATCAAAGGAGGAACTTCTCTCTTGTCATCTCCATAGTTCTTCAAAAAAAACTCCACTCCTCACAAACTCTCTCAGATCATCCTATCTTCTCAAAAAAAAAGAAAAAAAACAATTGTTGTTTCTCTCCAATTCAACATATCAAAATCTCAGACCCAAATCTTTCTTCCATCACCAATTCTTAACTCACTTTTTTTTCTCTCTCTCAAATAACTCATTCTAATCATCAACCTCTCTTCTCTTTCTCTTTTGTTGAACCAATAAAAAAATTCAAAAAAAAACACCAAAGCAAAGCCAAAAGGGGAAGTAGTGAAAAAAGAAAGAATATCTCTACACCCCTTCAAGAAAGAAATAGGGCATTGCCCGGATCCAATAAAAAAACAAAGAATGTCAAAGATCTTTAGTCAAACAGACCGCTCAAGTAGCTTTCTCTATTCTTCTTCGACGTCAGCAGCTACAAGCGCACGTCAACCTTCTCTTTTCTTCTTCGACGTCAGCAGCTACCAGCGCACGTCAATTTCTCTCTTCTTCAACGATGTCTACAGCTACCAGTGCATGTCAGGCTTCTCTCCTCTCCAACGACGTCAGCAGCCACCGGCGCACGTCAGACTTCTCTCCTCTCCAACGACGTCAGCAGCCACCGGTGCACGTCAGACTTCTCTCTTCTCCAACGACGTCAGCAGCCACCGGCGCACGTCAGATTTCTCTCTCCTCAAAGTTTCCAGTTTCCGGCTAGTGTTCAAGCTTCCTCTAGCTTCAGCCAGAGTTCAGCTTGAGGGGGGATGTTAGACAATGGTCTTGTTTGGATGTTGGCTGTCAGCTGTTGGCTGTTAGCAGTTCGTGCCAGCTGTTGTGAATGGCTGTTTAGTTTAGCTGGTTTGACAGGCAGAATGAATTGGCTGATCGTTAAAAATGTTTGGTAAAATTAGCTGTTTGAAAATAGTTTTTCATATATATATATATATATATATATCATTTTTTTTACATGTAAAAATTAAATCTTTACCATATGGAGTATTAAATTTTAATTTCATTTAATTCATAATAAATTATTAATATAAATTTTTTTAATGATTCTTGCTTTTTATTTTCTCATTTCATTTTTGAAATTTTTAAATTTTAAATTTTATTTTTTTTAGTATTTAGTTTTTTTAACTTTTATTTTTATTTTTTTTACATATATTATAAAATATCTTTCAACAAAAATGATTTTAAAAAAATTATTTTTCCTAACCGCCGAGTCCAAATGCTACTCCCCTTGGCATTTCAGATTTTAGCTTTTCGGATCAAAATGCCAATTGAAAAAGCCATTAGCCAAACAATGGTTTTGGCGGTTCGTTTGGTCAAAAAAACCAAAGTCAGTCAAAGATGCCAAAAGCTATCCGAAATGCTGTTTTCCAAACACGGCCAATAATATTAAGTATTCCTAGTTATGGTAGAAGTTGTATTTAAGTTAGTTTCTATTCTCTATTCCTAGTTGTGTTAGGAGTCTCTTCTATATATACTCTATCATGTACTTCATAATTCAAGGAGCAATATTATTATTCCAATATTTCAACAACATCCACAACTGCGAGGTGTTGGCGTCGCAAGAGCTGAGCGACGCCTTGGCTGCGGGGGCGACGATCAGAACCTACTTGGGGGCGGCCGTCGGGTGTGTGCTCCCGCACCGCGTTCATGACCACTAAGATGGACCGCTTGGTGGACCCGGCTGGGTGGACGGAGTGGCCCAACGCCCCTGAGAGGGCCGACACCGTGTACTATGCCGAGTACAACAACTGCGGGCCCGGGGCGCCGGCCACCAACAAACGGGTGGGCTGGAATGGCTACCACCGGATAGAAAATGACGACCACGGCGAGGCTTCTCAGTTCACCGTCGCCCAATTCATCGACGGCAACTCTTGGCTGCCCCTTCTCTCCCGGCCTCGACGGTCAGTCCCCCTGCTCCCAGCCGACGGCACCGCCGCCTTCTGCTACATGATCTCATCTATCTATCTATCTATCCATATATAAGCAAAATACTGCTAGTACACTAGAACTAGTAGTTAATTATTAGCTCTATTTAGTTAGTTTAGTTACTCCGTAGGTAGTAGTTCTATATATATTACAGTACTTAATTAGTTATTCTTAATTAGTGCTCCATTGGTTTATAATTGTTCGTTTGTTTATTTACCTTCCTTCTGCTGGAAGGGGAAGTACTATAATGCAAATTAAATAAAGTACCTACTTATATAGGAGTATTTGACTTATTATTCTTCATTATTTACGGAGTATTTGTTCTTCCTCCCTGCATATGCATGCGGTGTATATATATATGTGCACATTTGGTTAATTACTCTCGTCGTTTGCCTGAATTAATTTTATAATACATCCTCCCGTATCACTCTTAGCTTGTGTGGTTTTTTTTTTTGCATGTTTGCGTACACTGAGTATATATTGAAGGGTAATTTATCTAAATAAGACTAAAACATAAAAATTTTTTCAAAATAGGACCAAATGTTTTCAAAATAGGACCACTGGTCATTATTTATTAGTCATTATTTAACTAAATGTCCAGCATCACTTGGACAATATTCTTCTCAATAGTCATTATTAAGTCCTATTTAGGGAATAAAAAAGTTTAAGTCCTAATAAATTGGAAAATGACTTATGTTTTAGTCCTATTCAGTGCAAATTTCACTATATTCAATTCCCTCGTCTGAGTAATGTGTAAAATCTTTAGTTTTAAAAAAAAAATACATATAAATTTATATGACAATTAGAAATTACATTTTTCAAAATTATTTCAAATGTTCTGCTCCCTTCGTCCCACAAAAAAAATCTCATTTTGAATAGTATTTAGTTAAATATTTACACGCTTTGACTACAAATTGTGAGAAATGTATATTGAATTATAAAATAAATTTAATATCATTGGATTCATGTTAGGATCTAGTTTTGATATCTCAAATTTTTTTAGTATTTCTTTATTTAAATTATATTTAATTTATGGTCCAAGCGTGTAACTGTTTAACTAAAAATACATTCAAATTTAAACTTTTTTGTGTGACGGAGGGAGTATAAAATAATAAGTGATCATAAGAATAGTTTAATTTCTCAAATAACTAATGAAAAGAAACAAAAAAATAAATTCAGATTTATTGAATATTGGAATTTTGATTTATTTTGAAAGTATCAAGTTTTTTTGGGGATAGATCGAGGTAAATTTGACCCATGGTATACGAACTTTCATCACTATTTCATTTCGGTATATAAACTTTAATTTTTATAACAAAAGTACACGAACTTTCAAGATATAGTGAAGTGTAATGTAGTTTTTAAGGCACAAATAACTTAATTGAAGTCAAATAATGTAGGTCTCCTCCCCTCCAACATTTTAAATCCAAACAAAGGGCTTTATTTTTCCTTCCCGGCCTTCCTCCTCCCCTCCACCCAAAGAGGCATTTAGCGCCTAAACAATGGGAAATGGCTATGGTGCCTTGGAGGGGGTGTTTATGGGTTCTATAAGAGCTCCATAAAAGCTTATAAAGCCCACTTCACATGGTCTTAGTTTTATATTTGTCGGTCCGTGAAAAATCTTCCCACCTTAAAAATGATTCTATTTAAAAATATATATTAAAATAAAAAATTATTCCCTTTTGCAAACATATACAGCAATTGACTAGAATATTTATTTTTTCAAGTATTCAATGAAAATATACAAATAAATAAAATTAAGTTAGGAAAAAAGACTAAACTATAGGTAAAATATTAACAATATATCAAAACCAAAGTTGCATGTATTTATTCCCCGAATGCTTTGGGAATCAGAACCACTATACCCCACCCCGGGTACTCATAATTCTCAAACCCTAAAATTATGAAAAACAATACTCTACCTTCATTCTCAAACCCTAAAATTATGAATTGAAATGTCCCAGAATGTCTAATTTGCAGCCCCAAGGAGAGTGTACATGGATGAAAAAAGTGAAAAGGGACAGGTAAATTTCCATTATTATTGAACAAAGAATTCAAGCAATTAAGAAAGATTAACCACATCCAATATACTCTCTCTGTTATTAAGAGCTAATTAACCAATGATAATTACCAAAGACGACATTGGCTAATAGATAGATAGATAGAGATCATCAGATAGTTCAGAGAGAGAGATTAATATTTACTAATTAATAATAGGTTGATCACTGATCTTCATCAATAGGGATAATAATAATTACCAAACTGGAAATCTCCCTCAAATCTCGGGTTCCCGATACTCTGCAGCCACAGCGGATCATAGTAAATATTATTAACCGCCCCATTATTTACCGTCCCTCCAGCAAAATCAGAATTCCCATTACCCCCAGTTGAGGAGGAGGAGGAGGAATTTGATTTTCAAATATCCCAGCGCCGCCGCCGCCATAGCTGCTGCTGCAACTTGGATCACCAAAATACAGATCACTCCCAATTTCTTGATGATGATGACGATGAATGATTTGATTCTCATAATTATTCCCCGGGTATGAATAATTATAGAAATAATAATCCCCAATTCCAGACGGAAACCCTAAATTGCCATAAGAATTGGCGTGAGAAGGATCAAGATAATGCTCTGTTTTCTTGCCGGCGTCCACAACAACCCCCCCTGCATCTTCTTCCTCCTCTGCAACATTATTAACCGCCGGGCAGTCCGGGGTGATGGCCAGCATCATCGCCTTCTCCTCGTCCGGAATTTCGGATCCCGAGGGATTCCGGCGGCGCCGCTTTTGGTTTCCGTCGGGGAGGTGGCGCTTGTCCGACGCCGCGGCTTCGTCCAAGGCGGCCTTCACGTCGTCGAGACTCTCCGGCCAAGTCTCCAGCTTGGCGCCGTCGGGGGAGACGATGACGACGCAGACCTTGACGTCGCAGAGGATGGACAGCTCTCTGCTTTTCCGCAAGATGGTGGACTTTCTCTTCTCGTACCGCGATTCCTTGTTCTTCTGCTCGTGGGCCGCCATTGTTACTGTTTTTCGTTCTGACAGGACAGGACAGAACAGAGCAGCGCTTAGGTTGTGTGTGTGTTCGTGCGGCGGGAGTGTCAATAAATGGAAGGTTTAGATTCTCTTTTGGAAGCTTTGACTGGTCAACCACCAAAAGTCATTATTCCCTCACCTCATACGGAGTAATTAAGCTCCTCCGTTATTCCCGGTTACTTTCCATATTTTTAAATTTTTTTTGAGAAAAATCTACTCTCTCTGTTCTCAAAAGCGCTTCCTCTTTCATTTTTTTTACTTCCACCAAAACACTTCCACTTTCTATTAAAAAACCACTTTTACCCTTACTTTTTCATACCCTACTTATCACATCATACTTTTTCTCTAATACTCAATCCATCACATCTTACTTTTACCCATCACATCAAGGGCAAAATTGGAAGTCAACTACAATTTAACACTTCCTTATTCTTACACAAAGTCAAAATAGGAACACTTTTATAGAACGGAGGGAGTATATTTTTAATAATTAAACACCTAGTTTTTTTTTTACTCTTTTTCATTTCAAATTTATGGTGTAATTGTTTTTTTCCAACTGGATTTATGACAGCTTTGTATGGAAACAAAACTTCTCCATTAGCATTAACTTTTTTTAATAATTTTTTAATGGTATAAGTTAATTTTAAAAAACACCAAAACTAAAGGATTTCGTTAGAATGGCCGGTCACGATAAATGCCGGTACTACCATCCGATCAGATTCGTTCAAATCAGGTGAATAGAGCACGGCCTAAATGTATTTTAGTTGCTGCTTTAGGAATGAAAACATGAATTTCTTATTTTGATATATTTTTCAATACTTTACCCTAATTTTAATCTTTTTTCATTAATTAAATCTAAATATTTTATTAAACGTACTGCCCTTCTCCCACCACTATTTTTTTTAATTCAATTTTTTCACTCTCTTTTCGCACTAATTTCTATCAATCCAAAGTCCAAACATTACTTTTTTTTCTTATCATTTTCTCACTATTTTCCTTTTCTATCTTTCCCCCTTTATACACTAAATTCTTTCTTACTTTTTTTGAGCAATCCAAAAATTTCTTTCTCATTTCTTCCTTTGGTAAATTTTTTTTAATGAATACTCCCTCCGTCCTATTTGTCAACTTTCATTTTTGCACACCATTTGTCCACTTTCATTTTTGCACACCATCCAATACACTTCTTTAATCCATTTTATCTTGTAATTTGTATATTAAAAATTATAGAAATTATATATTAATAATCTATATGTTAAGACAAATCAAACAAGATCACACATGACTATACTTAGGCTTACACATTGAGAGAATTTGATGAGTCAAAGTGCTTAGATGAACAATTCCAAAAGTAAAAAATGGACGAATATAGCGGGACGGAGAGAGTATCTCATTATACTACTCACATTTTATCATTATTTCATCTCCTTTTCTCACCTCCATCCAAACGAAGGGCTAATTTCGTCTATTTACACAATTACACCCATCCTCTTATGAGCTGGGAGATAGGAGGAGCAAATTGAAATGGCCTAGGAGACATCCATCACCGAAGCAGCAGCGATCGAGCAAATTAGCGCCGGAGACTGGTAGTACTCATCTCCGCCGGAGACAGTCGCTCTCTTCGGTAAGTTCTCCTATGTCCCCGATTTCACTAGCATCCTCTTCCATGTTCAAATTAAACTGCCCGTACGTGAAATCAATCTGCGATTCCGGAGTTAGAATTGAATGGTGAAAATTAGTCTATATTGTAAATTCAAGCCGTCTCATCTTCATTCGCTCCTTTGACTCCTCTGTTTTGATTCTCCCTCTCTCTGGGGTACGGTGCTAAACACACGGAGCATTGTTTGATCGAGTTGTGGCGGCATTGGCCCGCCCCGTTTCTGGAATAAGCTCCTATACCATAACCACTTGGGTTGAACCACATTAGAAGATTGAATATAATCAATTAACCCATTCAAGAGCTTATAAACATGTTATATTCTTTTCAATTTTCCGACATGGGATAGACTCTAACATTTAGAACTCCGAAAGCATGTTTATCATTCTCGCAAATGACTAACCCCCACGGAGTCATCTAGTATTCTACTCAATAAGTTTATGTTTATATGTAGAAGTTTTGGATTCTACGATGTAGTACTGATTAGTGTTTTGATTTTATCGGGTTTTGGTAATCAAGGCATCAAGCATTTGAATAGGCTAATAGAGTAGGTACAAATAATGAAAAAATCAATTCCACCCATACAAACTAAGTTAGTAGAGCTTATGATAAAAAGTACTACGCATTAGCATTGCCTAAAAAACACATGGACTGCAATTTCATACTGAACTATACATACACAAAAGATCATAGTTACATAAACTACCACCAGTGTGAATCTATGTTAATGATTAGCCACCAATTCAACGTTTATAGGGTAGGAAACAAGGCAGACAATTCGCACTTTGCAAGTGTCCTTACTCGGATGAATCCATGTTAATGATTAGCCACCAACCTGCAATCTACTTTCACAACCAGTATCCTCCCTACCGGTACTCAGGCCGGGGCGCCAGGCAAGCAAATCTTTCTCCAAGTTTCTCATTACAATTGTCCCTACACTATGTTTGGTTCATGGAATTTGGAAGAAAAAGAAAAGAAAATGCTTTTCTCTCATTTTTCTCACCATATCGGAAGAAATTTGGTTTTCCCTCCTCTTAATCCGTTTTCCCTTTCATTTTCTTCTACTTTTCTTTTCCTTTCCTTTCTAACCAAACAAGAAAAATTGTTTTCTATCTCAACTTCTTTTCTTTTCTCTTTTAAATTCCTTGAACGAAAATAGTGTTAGTGTTCTCCACTTGTGCTTCATGGTTATCTAATTCTCATCCTCTGACGCAAGGGGTACATGCATGAGATGCAACTTTGACTTGATGCAATACAGTTTTTTCATTTCTTTTTTGGTTTATATCCCTTTTCATTTATGTTCATAAAGTTTTGAAGTGCATTGCAGTGAACTTCATCAACATTAAATATGTGTGCAGTTTTATGTGTATATATAACCCCGTATGTGTTTTTGTTAGAAGTAGGAACACACTCTTTCTTCCCTTTCAATTTTTGTTTTATCAACTTGAAGTTTGAGGGGGGGGGGGGGATCAAAATATTCAACTCGGGCTCAGCACTACAGAAGATCGAAACGTTTTAGGTATCCCCAGATATCTCATTGAACTCGATCTTTTATAACAATTTCAGATAGCCTGTAGAAGGGTATTACTTTTTTTATGTTATTTTGTTTTCTCTCCCAGTATTGTACGACCTATTCACATATATACAATATGCAGGTGCGGAGCATATAGTAAAGAAAGTGCCAAATGAATTTCTTAAGTAGTTTTCTTTCCTCTGTCTTTTTAACATTAAGTCGCTACTGCATGATATGAGAAAGCAATGTTCTCTTCCATAAGGGTCTGTTTGGAAATTATGGTAGAATGCTAGGGGAATTAAATAAAAAGGCAAATAGAGGGGGAACTCATTGAGAAAGAAAAACTCAATAAATCAATATTGAATACGAAGTATCTGTTTGAACTCATTCTTCTGTTCACATATTTCTATTGTACAAAGACTAATATAAGAAATCTACTCTTTTAGTTCTTTAGTACTCTGTCTCCCCATTTGTGATTTGATAGTTAAAAGTTTGCAGGGAGAAAAGATGGTAATGGTAGCTTGTGGATGGCCATACACAATCTCCATGTCTTCTTTCTTCTCTGGATCTTTATACACTTACGGTTGGAGTCAGCATGGCCAACTAGGATATGGGGATTGTCAAGACCAGGCCATCTTGTCCCCCATAAACTTGAATTTCTGGGCGGTGATGTCATTTCTCAGGTACTAATTCCTTAAAATATGCATGTAGACTTATTGAGCCTGTGTCAATAATCTCTAACCAATCGCTTGGGTAAAATGTCGTTTTACTTGGGGCAAGGGGTACAAATGGCTGGACAGTTAAGCTGCATGCGTAGAGGTATGTATGAACGATTAAGTTCATACTCCCTTCTTCCACATACTCCTTTCATATCGGTAGAAATAAAAAGGCTATTTTGATTTCTTTCGTCAAATTATTACACACTTTATTTGATCACACATTCTGAACACAATTGTCTTTACTTTTCAACTTTCACATCTTGATTGTCTCATAAAACATTTCAATTTGAGCTAAATGAACACAATTGTCTTTACTTTTCTTAAATCTAACCGATCATACCTCAACTACCTTCTAAGTCCTATTCATTTTGATACTTCCGGAGCTTACTCATTTCAATTATCGTTCTTTCACCTTGGTCAAACTTAGTTTCTACAGTTTCCTCTTCCAAAAGTCAAATTAGAAAATGTTTTGCGCGATGAAGAAAGTACTAGTAATTTTTATTTAATTTAGTTGAAATATTGAATGTAGTTAACTACAAAAAGAATTCTGAAATATAAAGAACAAATACTTGAGGATAAAGTTAGTATGTTTTGCTTGTTATGTAGTGCACTAGTGCTTGTGAAATCTTACTGTTTTTAGCCATTAATATAACTATATTAGAATGTGGTATTTATTATTCCTCACCTACTATATACTCCGTATTTGAAACAGTTATGTTGATGCCAATGGAATAAAAGGTCTTTGGCGCTTGTGATCTTGCTGCTATTCTCATTGTTACAATATTTGGTTGAAATCCAACCATAAACTTGCGGTTTAATTGGCAATAAAAAGAGAATTTATATATCTTTGACAACAGAGGGAGGGGTATACCGAGAAAGATTATGGAAATGCTGCATTAATTTTCTCGAATCTTTTTTTTACTACGATTATCTTCTTCTTTTTGTTACTGGGATAAATTTTTCTTCTACAAAGTTCATAAATTTTGATAGGCTAGATTACACTTACCCTAAGTTTAATTTGGGTGTGACACTCGCCTAGCTAAAGTCTCTTACGTTGCTCAATTTTAAAAATTTCTGATTCTAATTCTTGACCTTCTGATAAAGTCTCATACCGGTCCTATTCGAACCCACCAAGCTATACCTTTCCATTGCACATCCAAATTATACGTACTCCCTCCATTTTAAATTAATACCCACATGATTGAAGATGAAGAGATAATTATTTTTTAAAAAGATATCTGTAAGATAAGGACCAACTGAGTAATACTTGATAATAAATGACTAAATTGAGAAAATCTTTTGTTATAAAAGACTATTTATGAAATTTACGATGATTTTTATGTTCTACTTTTTTCAAAATACTTCCGATCAATGACATAAGATTTTTGGTGCAAAAAAAGACTCATGCAACTTTCCATATGATGTTAAATTTGCATACTCCTGCCGGCGATAAGCAAGTCAAAAAGGGAAAACAAGGAGATTAACAAATATAATGTGAATGTGTGATGTGAATGAAGTAGGAGAAAAAGTCTAAACTTGAGGGAAATTAATTGAAAAAATGTGAAAATGAGATTGTGTGTGAAAGTGGATGAAAAAATGTGGTAGATTAAATATAAAAATTTGAATGCCCAATTTAAAAAAAGGATGAGCCCCATTTTGAAGGACCGTCTTAGAAGAAGTAAAATTGAGCTTTGATCGCAGATTGATGATAAGAAGTAGAGCATGCACCTGGTACTTGCACTCTTGCAGAGGTCATGCACCTTTGACAATTCTTACATTTGCCAACTGTGTGACGCCCACCCGCTGAATGCCCAATATAAAAAGTTAATATAAACTATACAAACAAGTTTTGTATGGTTAATTTAGGTTGTGTTCTCTTCAATTTATTCTTATTAGTTATTACCTTTTTATATTTAAATTAGTTCGGATCAGATGAGAAATAACTTTAATTATAACTACATTTAAATGAGATCAGACCAAATCGGAACTTATTCTAATTTGATCAGAACTATTCAGATCTGGAACGTCACCTTAAGAGCATTTACAACGGCGCCACAAAAACCCCGACGTAGCACCACACCGGGCTTACCACTGCCGAAGTTCCGCCGCGCCGCAGGCTGCGGTGCTCGCCCTAAGAGAGGCGCAAAGCCGCGCGGGAAATGGGGTGGTTTTTCGCGGCGGCGTCCACTGCAGGCGGTACGCCGTGCCGGATTTCTTCTTCCGATCCGTTTTCTTCTTCTTCCTCGACTTTTTTTTCCTTTTTCTTCTTCTTTTGATCAGGATTCGTTGACCGACTTTTTTTTTCTTCTTTTTCTTCAAACCCGTTTTCTTCTTCGACTTTTTTATATCAATTTTATTTTTTTTAATTTCAATAATTAATAGTTTATTAATGTTAATCTTTTTATTTATTTTTTTAAATTTTGAATTTATTACTTTTATTTTATTTATTACGGAGTATTATTTATCCATTTTATTAATAAATAAATATTTGTATTAAGTTGTACGGAGTATAATTTTTGTATCAAAGATGAAAAATATTGTAAAAGAAACAAAAAGACAAGTTTTCATGATAATATCATAACATGATCTTGGGTCAGTACAAAAAAATAAGATGCACTTAAATAATAAAAGATATTTTAATTTAAAATCCACAAAAAGTAAGTTTGTAAAGTTTATGAACTATATGTTTGTAACTCTAGCATTTTTCTACAAAAAAAATTAGTGGAATATTAATGTATCAAGAATTGGGACGAGATGGAATAGCTCCTCAATTTAAATGCTCTGACTGACCCAAAGATTTTTCTTGGTAAGGGGGGTGTGTATTGGGGTACTTTGATCACACTTGTGAGTTTGTTATTCAAAGGATAAGTCGCCGTAACTACCCTGCACTGCACTCCCCACATAAATTCAGTCCATTGGGAGTCTCCATCGCCATAAATACTATTGCTCCCCTTCCTCCTCCTCCTCTTTCCCTTTCACTTTCAATTCCCCTTTTCCTCTCTCTCTCTCTCTAAACCAGTAAACTCCCAACTTCCTCTATTTACACCGATCAGATCCTCTCTTAGATTCAGGGAGATAGTATTGACAGGTGCAGGGAATTGAAATGGCCGACGAAGGTGCAATCGTCCCTGGAGTGTCGGCGAGCGAATTAGCGCCCCCGGCGACTGTACCTGGAGTGGTACTCATCTCCGCCGGAGCCAGTCACTCCGTCGCTCTACTCTGTAAGTCATCTCCTCCGCCTCTCCTTTTTCACTCGCCACTTCAATTCCAACTGTTTGTGCAATTACGTATTAATCTGCAATTCCGGGGCCAAAATTGATTTATAAAAAATACGGAGTAGTTTGAAATTGTAAATACGGGGCCAAAATTGATCTCGGCGGTAATAAACATCCGGAGTAATTGATTGATTGATCGATCGATCGAGTTTTTGGCGGCATTGGTCGGCGCCATTTCGGGAAGAAAGTGAGAACTCAGAGGCACGTCTTATCATTCTCGCAAATGACTAAATTACCCCCCACCAATACTCCCTAGATCTTACTCTCCCTCCCATTTTCTATTATTTATACTCCCTCCCTCCCAAATTATTTGTCGCATTTCTATTACCGAGGCAAAATATCAAATTTTTTCACTTCATTTTATTTACATATTGGTAAAGAAATAAAAAATAAAAATTACATATCAAAAAACTACATGAAAAGTTCTTCGAAATAAGAGGTGTCAAGAATATTTTATTTTATCAAATAACCAATGAAAACGTAGAAATAAACAAAAGTTCCTGCGACTATTGAAAAAGCAAATGTGGCAAATAATTTGGGACGGAGGGAGTAAAAAAATGTTTGCACGTTGTTGTTAACCACTCTTTCCGTCTCATAAAACAAAATTTTACTCCCTCCGTCCCATTTTAAATTGCATGTTTATCTTTTTTCTCCGTTCCAAAATAAATTGCCTGTTAGTTGTTTTCGTAAACTATTAAAAATAAAATACCTAAATTACCCTTAAAATAAGTCATTCTTTTTCACCTTATCTTCTCATTCATCATTACCCCTCTTAAAAAGTAATGTCAATTTTAAAAAATCAACTTTATTTTTTATTTTCCTTAAATATGCTCAAAAGTCAAAACAGGCGATTTAAATTGGGACAGAGGGAGTAAAAGATTTAAGAAAAGTATATTTTGATGTTGACTTTTTAAAAAAGCTTTTGGATGTGATTGGTAAAAGTAGGATGTGATGACTAGTCTAATAATGAAAAAATGTGATGTGAATATGTGATATGTATGTTAATAATTAGTAAGGGTAAAAGTGACTTTTTAATATAAATGAGAAAGGTTTTTTGAGATGAATTAAAAAAAGAAGAAAAGTTTTGTGAGACGTAAGAAGTAATTAATAAAATAAAATATTAATGTCACATTTTATATTGTAGAAATTTTGATGTATTTTATAATACGTAATTTGTATTTTTTATTTCTATATTAATTTGTAATTAAAATGATTTTAAAAAAGATCTGATTTTGTACGTTGTTAGAACTTACAACTGTGACGATATTTTTTTTATCAAGGGAGAGGAAAACCCTAACGCAACCAAAATCTCAAGTTTATAGTTAGGAGGACTAAAGAAAATTGCGGAGTAATATACTCTTAGATGCCCCCACCCACATGTAGGCGAGATTTTTTTTGGTTTGCTTGAACCTTGCACGTGAACATTAGTTTTTTGAAACTGGGTGGTTGTGAGGTCTGAATTAATAATCTCTTGGTCAGCAAGTCTCCGATACCATATCGAAACATCTACTCAACCAAAAGTTGAAGTTTATGATTGTAGGCCCAGGAAAGTTTATACTCCCTCCCAAATTTGATTACAAAATGAGATGGGAGATGCTAGGGGTACACCAACGGTGTATCCCAAATACACACCGCATACATCTTTACCATTCATTTTTATTTGCTTTTTATTTATTTATTTTTTTAATTTTACATGCAAATTTTTGTGGTTATGGAGGGGTGGAGGATATTTGGTGTACACCAAAAGTGTACTTCTAGCATTTTCCAATTGAGGTTTACGAGGCAAAATCTCCCATCTTTTGAAATCATTTTATTTACAAATTGGTATATCGATAAAAATAAAAATTACATATCAAAAAACTACGTCAAAAATTTACAAAACAAGATGGGACAAGAATGTTTTATTTTATCAAATAATCAATGATAACACACGAATAAACAAAAATTATCGAGATGAGACAAAAATTGTAATAAAAATTGGGACGACACAACTAAATTTGTTATGTGGTAGACACTTTTCATTTTTGGCATCCCATAACTTAATTCACACTTTCATACTCCGTATTTGTTAAACTAATACACCAAATGTAAATCCTTACCTTTTTTTCAATCACTTTTTTGTTTTTATACCCACCCTATTTATTTCTCACCCACATTACGCTCTTTCTCATTTCAATTCGCATCACATCAGCCATCAGGACAAAGTTGCAAAGTCAAACCTTAGGACGGAGGGAGTAATATATTATTACTTCTGTGAGAATGACATGATTCTTATACGCATTTCAGGTGCATATAATAGTCTAGTTACTAAGTTTACATTTTGGTGATTGCATTAACGGTTTATATTAGTGGTTTGTATTTTCTGTTTAGATTAGCTACTCTAGAAAAAGGCAGGTCAAATTAGTTTGCCAAAAAAGCTTTTGGTTACAAATTTATTTTGTGTTAAAACTCTAATTTCCTCTTCCGTGTTATTCACAAACTAGAATCATGTCTTCTTTGTGAATGTATTTTTATTGATCTTTAAATAAATAAATAAGTAGTACAGAATATAGAATAGGCTAAAATCCACCATTGGTCCTTCATCTTTTGTTTTATAGAATATTTATTGTAGTCTTGATGTATTTATATTATAGTTTTTAATTCTACACTATGGTGTAATTCTTAAAGAAATTGAATGAAAACAAGTTCTATTAAATATCTTAAATCGTAACAGGAATTTTATATGGGGCAGATGGAATATTACTTGGTATTTACCATTTATTGAATAATCTTAATAAATATGAAGTAGCTTTATACTCCGTACTATCATGTTTTTTCTTCATAATCTCAACTATTTAATCAAGTTAATTTGAATTGAAGTTTTGAATTTTGGTTAAATTGTTTTAGTACTAGTAGATTTGAACTTGTCTCGCTGTGTCTTTGTTTACAAATAGTTTATTAAAATAAAGTAGTCAGTTATTGTTTCAAAAAAAAAAGTAGTCAGTTATTGTTGATTGAATCAACAACCTAAATTTGTGTATTTTTTGTGTCCTATGGGGCCGCCACCATAATTGTCGGCATGCTCCAAGACAACGATGTATTAAGTCATCGGTGATTGATATTAGAAATCCTACATTTTTCATCCACTCCCTTATAAATTCTTAAAGAAAAACTATACAAGAAAAATGTGTGAATCTGCAGCTTAAGGCCTTTTTGGTTCATATCGTGAATGTTAGCATTAACCGCATGAAACGGTGTTGAACTTTATAGCTGGAAATATAGTTTTCTCTTGGGGAAGAGGAGAGGATGGGCAGCTTGGTCATGGTGATGCTGAAGATAGGTTTTTTCCCACTCAAGTGAGTGCATTGGATGGCCAGGAAGTAGTATCTGTCATTTGTGGCGCTGATCACACAACAGCTTACTCGGAGTCACTCATGCAGGTCTACAGTTGGGGATGGTATGCTAAGGATGTAATTTTTTATCAGCTTATTATTATTATTTATTATTACTGATGCATAGTGGTCTTGTGGAAACCCACTTCTTTACCGGGATTTTTAACGGTGAGGTACAATATTTGCTCATCAGCATGTTCTTTTTTTTTTTTGCAGGGGTGACTTTGGGAGGTTGGGCCATGGAAACTCTAGTGACTTGTTTAGTCCTCAACCAATCAAAGCATTGCATGGAATCCAGATCAAACAAATTGCTTGTGGAGACAGCCATTGTTTAGCTGTTACCATGGAAGGAGAAGTCCAAAGGTTTGCTGCATTCCTACTTTCTGTGTTCTTGATGTGAACATGCCAAATTACAGTCTTTCTTTTGGTTTCTTACAAGTATAGACGTTATTATGTTGGTCAATTGATTATTTGATTCAGATACTAACCAAAGCAGTTCTGACTTCTGAAGAGATATACTACTCTGTATTAGGTTAAAGTGGCTTATAACTTATAAGGTTGCACAACTATTCAAATTGTCCTAAGTACAAAAAAAGTAGTTTGTAGTTAATGTCACAATTAACTCAGCTTTGATGGGCACCTTAGTTTCTCACTTAAGTAAAGGATAATCATTTAATGTAAATTGCTACTCTTTCCTGAAAAAGAGTCTTGTTGATAGTCACTGAAGGGAACTTCATCAACATTGAATATATGTGCAGTTTTATGTGGATACATTATGTGTTTTTGTTAGAAGAAAACCCTCTTATTTCCCTTTCAATTGTTTGTTCTATCAACTTGAAGTTGGGGGAGAAATCAAAACGGTCAACTGGGCCTCGGCACTACAGAGGATTCTCCTGTGCCTCGGAAGATTGAAACATTTCAGGTATCCCTAGATTTCTCAAACTTTTATACCCTCACCAGATAGTTGTATGACCTACTCACATGTTTACACTATGTACCTTTATCATTCTAACATGATGACTGACTGTTCTTTGATATTGCAATCTACTCACTGAAATGGTCTTTTTGTAGGGAATTCCTGTGAAAATGGTAGCTGCAGGTGCTGAACATACAGCCGCTGTGACAGAAGATGGCGAGCTTTATGGTTGGGGCTGGGGCCGATATGGTAATTTGGGTTTAGGTGATCGAAATGATCGCTTAGTTCCTGAAAAAGTTTCAGCCATACAGGTAATCCAGGTGTATAATTAATGTAGGTTTCAAAGATACCATATTTATTATGGTTGAGATCTTGAACCAAATCTTAAAAAGTTCTTATCAAATTATGATTTCCCTTCACATTTTCCTAGGCAGAACCAAACACAAGAAAATGTTTTCTTTTTTCCCTACCATTTTCCTGAGTCCAAACATCACCTTCTTAATGCTTCTAGGTTACTTTCCACTCTTCTGCTACTCTGTTAGATTTTCCTCTTTTGTGTTTTGATGGTTTAAAGTTGCAGGGAGAAAAGATGGTAATTGTAGCTTGTGGATGGCGACACACAATATCTGTTTCTTCCTCTGGATCTTTATATACTTACGGTTGGAGTAAGTATGGCCAACTGGGACACGGGGATTGTCAAGACCACCTTGTCCCTCACAAGCTTGAATTGCTGCATGGTGATTTCATTTCTCAGGTACGGAGTATTTCCTTTTAATATGCATGTACATTTATTGAGCTTGTGTCAATAATCTCTAACCTATAGCTAGTATGACAGACGAACTCTTCATGCAATTAATTTATACTCAGTAGTTTTATAGGAGAATTAAATATGTGTGTAACCTGCTTTTATGTATGGACGTATTGTCATTTTTTGCGTATATATTCCAGATATCAGGTGGATGGAGACACACTATGGCACTCACAACTGATGGCAAACTCTATGGTTGGGGATGGAATAAGGTGCTTATCTTATTCCGTGAGGCTTGTTTGGTTGGGGAACGTAGTGGATGATACACCGAGTGGTTTTTTACTAATTCATCTCTATCTGTTAGTTTTAGACTAGAAAATAAATATACAACAAAACCAGTTAAGTCCCACAAAGAGTAGGGTATGTACATAGACTTTACCCATACTGTGAAGTAGAGAGACCGTTTCCACCCCGGCTCATATACAAAAGCACGAACAAAGAAACCAGTGAAACACGAATGAAGTATGAATATAGACAAAAGAAGCATACAATTTGACTCTAAAAATAAAGCACACAAGCACACACTATGGACTAAGGCATAACAACACACCAACATAAGTATATGTTCAATAAAATGAATAGCTATGGGTTTGAAGTTATATTTTCCCTTTTATCAGTCAACAACAACCCAGTTGAATCCTACAACAGTAGGGTCTGGAGAGGGTGTGTGTACGCAGACCTTGCCCCTACTCAGTGTGATACTTTACTGTCTCACACATGATGCTTATATGTATATAAAATTGTATTCGTAGAGTCGTAGGTAACTACCTATCCCAAACCCATGATATTGTAACCTATGATGGTATATTAATCTTTTAATTTTGAAAATTTTCTTCAATACACACAGTTTGGACAAGTAGGTGTTGGAGACAATGACGATCGTTGTTCGCCAGTGCAAGTGAAATTTCCAGATGATCAGGCATTGTTTTCGCAGAGCTTTCATTTTCTTTTCGTTTTTTGAAATGTGACTTCAGTTAGAGAGCACCTGTTTAGGTTTTCTGGTGTTGACATTATGCTTTGTTACATTCCAGAAAGTAGTTAAAGTGTCATGTGGTTGGAGGCACACACTGGCTGTTACTGAACGGCAAAATGTCTTTTCTTGGGGTAGGGGTACAAATGGACAGTTGGGCCATGGAGAATCTGCTGACAGGTGGAGATGCACCTCTCTATGCCAATTTGTAAAATAAATTAATACGAGAAAATAAATAAATAAATAATACGTTGAACATTATCTCCTTTTGAAACCTGAGGTTTTGATGTTGTGTTGAAATATGAAGGAATGTCCCGAAGATCATAGAAGCATTAAGCGCGGATGGATCAAGCGTCCAGCTTGTAGAAGCTTCCAAGTCCAATCCACCTGTCATTGCAGGTTTCTATAAAACCACATTTCCTTGTTTTGGATGTTTTGGGTTTAAGGAGTCCTTTAGTATGTAGGGAATAATTTTTTTCTGATTCTTTTCCGAATCATCATTTTTTTTTTCAGCTGAAAAAAATTGGGTTTCGCCAACACAGAGATATGCAGTTGTTCCAGATGAGAATGTAAGATTGAATCCCTTCTTCTTCAACTCCTTTCATTTCTAGATCTGCATATGCATGAATACAAAGAATTAACACTTATTTGTCCCTATTTCAAAAATTTCTCCATCTTCGTTGGTTCCACGCAACTATTAGTTTATGCCCAAATTTGGTTCTTGACTTTTGTTTCTTTGCCACATTTGTTCCTCTTTATTCATTATCTATTCGGATAAAACCAACCAAATTTCTGTCTATGTAAGTGATTAGAAAGACCAAAAGTGTAAAATAACTTAACGTCAAACACTGGGATAATAAAAATAAAATCAGAAATTGGAATGACATAATAATGGTGGGGCTTATCCTAAGTATGAAATCATATATGGTTGTGCAGGCCGGTGGCAATGGGAATGATTTAAGTGTCCCTGAGAACGACGTGAAGCGGATGCGAATATGAAGAAGTGCCTCTCATCTTATCTTTTGTACCAATCCATATATTTAAGGTATATGATGAAGAAGATTGCAGCAGTTATGTCCTCCTATGCAGTTTCTTTTTGAGAAAAGTGTCAAACTACAGTCACATCATGTATGATACTAAAGTTGACACCATCAGTGTTTCACCAACAATATAATAATTTCTTAGACATTGACTATTTTGTGTGCGGTTATCATTGTTGGTGTCACCCTTGGTATCATACCGGGTTAAAGTAGATTTACTCTTGATAAAATACTCTTATTCCACGGACTATTTGAATTCCTTTTTTGGTTTTGTTTTTACCATATGTATAATCTTGTACTATGGGTAATGTGTGAGTTGAGTGCTTCTGAACTTTGGTACTCACCCACTCTCTAAATAGTCTTTTACCTATGTTTTTTTCGTTTTTTTTTCTTTCTAAAGTACAAGGCCATAACAAAGACTCTTTGTTTTAAATAGGGAGTACTACTTGGTCCCAATAAAATACTAAGTTGAACGAAAACAAAATTGCTAATTTTAATTACATCTAACGTTTTTTAAATTTTAAAAAAGATGCCACACAATTTAATTCTAGGTTAACTAACAAATTAATTTCTGAAGATAGTGATATCCAATGTTTTTAAAATTTTAAAAAAGATGTCACATATATTTCTAGGTTAGTTCTATTTGACACGAATAAAACTAAAATCTCGAAACAAACACCCTGTTTTATAATTGAATGTTCCAAAATAAGGGTCATTTTGCATTTAAGGAAAGAAATGAGTATTTCACAATATTTTCTCGCTTGTATGAACTTTCACCATACAATTTTAATTTTTTTAAATATATGAAAGTTAAATTAGAATATTCACTTGATACAGAGAGAGTATCCATAAATCTAACTTTATGGAAGAAAAGAATATATTTCTTCTATCCTCAAATAAATTTTTTATTGTTTTCAATTGTTCCAAAATAAAATTTTTATTTATTTCTTTCCATAAAATGAAAAGAATAAGTATTTAAAATATTTACACGCTTTAAATTTCAATAATTTTTTGATATTTCATCAAGTCAAACTGAAATTTTTATATGGGGATATAAAAAGTATACATTATTAGAGTATCATTAATGATTCCTCCTTTATTTCTCTCCACATTATCATTTCTTAACGCCACATAACTTTCTTCTCAAACTTTTCCACCTCACTCTATTATCATTTCTCTTCCTTTTATCTTTATTTCAAAAATTTATTTTATTTTCAACGAATCAAATTTAATATTTAATTTTACTCCAAATTAATTTTTTCTCTCTAATCTCCCATGCCACATAAGCAAGTCCCCTTTCATGATGGTCTTAGTATAACTTCATTTTCAATGAAACTAAATGAGATATAATCACTTTATCCAATCCATATTTGAATATTCTCTAATTTCTTACAGTACTTTTTTGCACATGTGTACGGATAATTTGAATTATCCCGTATGGTATTATTATGTCCTTTGTCTCCTTCAAACATTGGGTTAAACATTTCCTGTTGTGTTGACTAGCATATTTTGACCTGACAGATTGACAAATCATTTTGTACAGTTCAAAGGGTAAATTTCACCAATGGTACCTGAACTTTAGCTGGAATTTCGAAGTGGTACCTGAACTTCAAATTCTTTCACAAAAATCCCTGAACTTACACAATCCTTTCACTAATGAGCCATTAGCCCGTTTCTAGGTTAACTTCCGGTCATTAGGGCCAAATTCGAATTTTATATATTTTAAAATTTTCAATTTGACCCCATTTCTTTTCTTCTAGGCCCCGCCGCCGCCGCCCGCCGGTCAAAGTCGCCGGAAAATGAACTTTTTCCGATTCCGGCGGGACCAATGTCATTCTCTTCGTCTTGAGACGAGGATCAATAATATCCAAACCATTTTGTCTAATTTGGCCTGTAACTTCTCGAATCTGAATTTTTCTACTCGAAAAACCCTAAAATTCGAAATTGGGTCCAAAATTGGGGGTTTTGCAAATCGTCATCAAATCTTGCAATTGAGGTGTCCTTGGAGATCGCCCGGATGCCACGAACGCATTGGAGTGGGTGCCCGCCGTCAATTTCGCCGGAGTTGGCCGGAAAACGCT